ACCAGGCCAAATATGAAGGTGACCTTACCAAACTTCTGACCTCCAGTGAATGGAGGAATCTAGAGTCATCTTGGTTTGGCACGACCCTCTTGGTTACACCAGGCCAAATATGAAGGTGACCTTACCAAACTTCTGACCTCCAGTGAATGGAGGAATCTAGAGTCATCTTGGTTTGGCACGACCCTCTTGGTTACACCAGGCTAAATATGAAGGTGACCTTACCAAACTTCTGACCTCCGGTGAATGGAGGAACTTGGAGTCAGCTGTTGTTTGAAAACTAGCAGTCGCTTATTTAAAAGGAAAAAAAAAACGCCAAATTTCTTTTTACATTAATGTAATTATATTTTATTATTATTACATTATTTATATTTTTTTAATGTTATATCGACTATTATATTAATATCATATTATAATAACACATTTTAGGTTTAAGATAAATTGTTTCAGTTTTCTTTAGGGGTCTCTTACAAAGCTATAAACGTTGCAAATTTTATTATTGGGCAATAGAAATGTATTTCCTATATTTGGTGAAATTCGACCATTTCTCTACTCTATTGGCTGCTAAAACATAACATTCAATTATGCTACAGAGAACAATCCAGAAAACCGCAATGTCCCAGGATATTGTGTAATAACCACACAATACTTGCTACAATAAACCACCCATTCAATAACTTTATGCTATTGGAAAACTCGATGAAAGAAACCTGCTTAAATATAACTGATATCACACCTTACATGAGTGAGTGTGGATACGGAAAGACACTGTCACAATAATCTATTCTATGCGTACAGGCTGACTAGTGTATTTCAGTTCCCATAATTCCATTGTAGCTCGTGAATAGCGTGGGATTGTTGACGATGGTCAACACCTGGCAGTACGAAACTAAGACTAATACGATGCATGACAGTTAGGGTTATCGCTAATAGTCTGTTCGTGACAAAGAGGTTTGACCCTAGTAGTTCTGAGCATGACAGTTAGGCTTAAGGCTGGTAGTTATGTGTGCATAATAGGTTTAAAAATAAAACCTAAAACTATTTCACCTGTTTCTCCTTCCTTGTAGGCACGTGAGTTTACAATAAATCTATAGAATATGCAGCCGTTTTTCTAGCTTGGTATAAAGTTTAAATATTTTTCAAATTAATTTATAATAAATAAAAAAAACAACTTATATTTTCTCCTATTTTTTTAAACATATTGTTCATCTACAATCGTGACGTAACAATCACAGTACTTGAATGTTTATTTTCATACGGGAGGTTACAATAATGTAATCTAAATCTATTATTGAACACACGTACAAGTTCGTGTATAGACTGTAACAATGTTCGTATCATCATCAATGGACATGACTTTTACTTGTGGTTTTCTACCTAGATCAACTAAAACAATTCGATAAACTGTGGTGTTTAGTTCAAGTTCTGAATTTATTAAAGGGTTTTTTTGAAATATTGATAGCACAGATAGCTCTATGTGTAACTTTGTGCTTAATTACAAAAAACAAACAAACGCTCCCTAGTGACGAAAAAAGAAACTAACATATTCAAAGATTGACTTCACAATTTAAAATCTCATTTAGTTTCCTAATTATTACTTTTATTCACGGTAAAACTCCGCGCTGAGGACTGTAATCGATACATTGTAAAATATATATATATTGTATTATGTCAGAGTCCTCCAGTGAACCGTGGATAAGTTTATGGAGTTAAAATTCTAAAATCCGGAGTTCGATCGCCTTAGTTTAGTCTTGCACTAAGAAAGCAAAATTAAAATTATGTACGAAATAGACGCAAACTGTGATAAACACATTTCCATACATTTCTAGTAACCTCGAGAACAGCACGCTCAAGGTACGAGTTAAAACGTTTCCTATCATCAGTCTGTACCAAGTACGAGTAAAACGTTTCCTATCATCAGTCTGTACCAAGTACGAGTAAAACGTTTCCTATCATCAGTCTGTACCAAGTACGAGTAAAACGTTTCCT